TTAGGTAATTTGGAGGTGCCTAGGGGCAAAAGACCAAGTTAAGCATTCCACATAGAATTGGATAAATATCCATTCTAAATGAACCATGGATTAATATATTTTGAAGATATGGTGTATCCTAGTTCCAGGGTCGACCCTAAAGTCAAGTAATCCTATAGGGATTCTTCTTAAATTCTCTTATAATGATCTTACCTACTAAATGCTAGAGGTTAAGATCAATATGTGGAATTTCAAGTTGAATAAAAAAAAGAGTTTTGATTTTCTAATAGTGGGGTACCTCTTCTAATTTTCTAAGACTAGTCAATAGGAAAGTTCTATGACTAGACCTAGGCTACTAAAGAAGTTTTCTAGACCTCAACCAAAAGTGAGGTCAACAGAAGATTATAGTTGCATGTACTTGTGCTTAAAAAGTTATTTTTGATAATTTATCTGTTAGAAATATGGATAGCTCACATTTTTTTTCCTTTTTAAGCTCATATTTTTACATGCTAGACTTCTTGCTGTATTTCTTTTTTGTATTGGCTATTTTTTTAGGTTTATCTCTATTAATGTAAAAAGCGAATTTGTTGAGGGCTGTGCAGCATTTCGCGGGCCGATGCAACAGCAATGCAGGTTAATCGGAACCGTAAGGCAAGCTATATTCCTCAATCTTCATATTTCCTTAACCAAAACCCTCCGTCTCGCCGCTCCTCCATCTCTTCCTCCACGCGTCCCCATCGTGAACGTCCTCGCTTTCCATACACGGCGGTCTTGCGATGTTCGGCAAGCTCGGGAGGAGCGGCGGAGCGGGGCGGGGCTCCGGCAAGAGGCCCCCCTCTACGCCAGTCCAACTGCACCGGCCCGGCGAGGCCGGCGGCTCGCGTCCCCCAATCGGAGCGTCTGCACCCGCGCGTGCCCGTCCCAGTCCTCAAGCTGTGGCCGCCGCCCAGCCTGGTCGAGAGGAGACCTTCAGTCTAGAGCCGGGAAAACTCGACTTTGGCGCCATCATTCGGCTTACGCCTGACATCGTCGAGGAGATCAAGCGCCTCGAGGCTCAGGGAGGGGCTGCGAAGATCAAATTCGATTCAAACGCCAATAACTCTGCTGGAAACGTAATGCATCGACGTAATGTTAGGCTTTTTGATTTTCATTAAATCTCTTCATTGATGATTTTAGATTTTACCATTCATGCCTCAAAGGTAGAGTTTTCCGTTGCCTAGGTTATTGGGTTATTAACGGAAACTTTTGAGCTCCTATGAAGAGGAGGTGAATGTTGAGTTCAGGGGGGCTGCGTCAGGCATCTCCTGTTTGGACTGTCTGGTGTGCTTTGTGATGGTTGTTCCTAAAATAAGAAATTTTCCGGCGTTTTTGATTCAGAAGGAGAGTTTCTTAGCCAAATACTGTCATTGCAGATGAGGATTTTTGGGGCTAGATATGGCAGACCATAAATGGCTGCCTATACCCTGCATCAGGCAGCTTAACTAGTCTTCTATGTTGGCTTGCATAATTGAATTTGCTTAGATAGCTTAGGTACTATTTTCTCCATTACATCAACTATTTAGTAAAACTAGTGATCCTAATCCTGCCATTGTAGAAGTGCATTGGAGTTACTTTTAGTAAATATGTTTCTTTATCTATGAAGGAGGTCAAATCTTGGACAGAAAGTATTGCATACTGGGATAAACATCCACTAATAGAACTTCAGAGAGCAGAGGACTAGTTCTTTTTTTTGGTTGTTAAAGGGAAATTGCTTTTAGAATTATATCGTTGGAGCGCTGCTGATATTTTTTTATGATGAAGGATGAGAAAGGATGAATGACAAACTAATTTTCGCATTAACACTTTTTTGTTACTTAATACATGTATATTGCAGCCATATATTACTATTAGTGCTTACATAACCTTGATTTAATATAAGCTTCTTAGAAATGTAATGGCATGATGTTATTGATTATCTATGTGAGGAGGGAATGAGGATAAATCTTGAAATTGCAGGTATTTCACAATGATTATGAAAAATGATAAACAGGAAAATTTCAATAGCAGATGATTAGTAGCTTTTTTCTAAAATCTGAGAAAATGAATTACTATTAGAATTTTCATTGTGAGAAAGTAGCATTATGCTGAAGTACAAGGAAAAAAAAATAGCTAGAAAATTTTTGTGTGAATACCATTAGAGATTTTCTTAAATTTCTATCAATATCATATGATGACTTGACTTTACTGTATGCTTACAATGTCATTTAAAGTGAGATTTCATAATGAATTCTAATAATAAATGACATAATTCTAATAATGTTGACCCCCATTGACATAAGTGGAAACTTGTTATGCAAATTTAAATATGAAATTTATATAGTGCTAAAAGATCAGGTGATGCCTAGATGTGAAAATTTGAATACCTTAGGTCTATTATAGAGAATGATGGGTGTGTAAACGAGGGTGTAATCTTTGCTTTTATTAATTGATGCTTAAAATGAAGGCATGTCTGAAGTGTAGTAAATGATAAGAGAATATCTCAAGGACTTGCAAAAAGAGATTTTATATTATTGCAATCAGATTAAGTATGTTATTTTGATTTGAGTGTTGTCCAATACAGATCTCATTTATAGTTAAATTGACTGTACAAGAAAGGAGAACGCTAAGATGGTCTTGTGTTAAACCTAGAAATAATGTTTAAAATTCCATAGTTGGGTGCAAAAGTATTTTTCATCCGTGTGTTAAAGCGTCAAGTCTTGATGACATAAATCTCAAAATTAATAAACCGTACAAAGCAAGAAGCCTTATATAAAGTTTAAAGTTTGTAGTAAAAGTTATCATATTAATATCATAATTTATTATTAAATTAAAGTGACATATTATCATTGTAATATAATAAAAGTAATAAATTATTAAAAAAAAGTAATATATTGACATCAAAATATCAAGATATAAAATAAGAAGGGCTATTCAAATATCAAAGCAAGACATAATAGCTTGTCATTTCAAATAAGTTTGATGCAATTAGTCTCTCTCACTCCTATTGTTCTCTATCAACGTAAGAAAATATTAAGTTATCAAAATTAAACTTTTGACGGTAAAAAATTTTCATCACTTATACCATTCAATGATTCCTCATTAGAATTATCAGTATAATGGTTTGCTTTATCCCTCAACGCATCTTCAATTGTATTCATATTCTCTTATTTATCCTTATAGCTTTTAATCTAAATCTTTTTTTTTTTTGTAATTAGTAGTAATTAACAGTAATATTTATTAGATATCTAAATAATAATTATGCTGATGGTAACAACATCAATTATATCTTAGTGGTGTAATATTAAGCTAAGGAATATTTTATTAGAGTTAATTTTTTATATTTATTTCATTGCTCAAGCCTCATTAGAACTAAGACAAAGTGTAATTTGAGGCTTGCTTTAAATTATTTGAGGAGTAAGCTTGTTGTAAAATTTTTTAAAAAGTGTTGAGATGAGCCTCGAAGTGTTCCTCATATTATTTTAAACCATGCTGAAGAGTGACAGACTAAGACATAATTATACGAGAGTGATTGTAGGAGTAGTGCTTAGGTACATTCAACTGATGGTAGATGATACACTTATAAGATGGATAGATAAAATTATCGTGGAAGGATCGATGAGGAAAAAATGCATGCCAATGATAATATGGATTAAATTTGTCCAAGAGATTCACACATAATAGATATAAAACTTCAATTAACACTCAACATTAATGAATGGAGAATGAAATAAAGTTGACTTTGAATAGTTGCAATTAGTCTAAACATGATGATGATAACTTGACCAAATACATTTTATATTTCATATCATATATTAATTATTTTTCTAGTGTTATCTTTATAAAGCCTATTATAAAGAAAATTTGTGTATATAATAATTGTTTTTCTTGTTTCAATGACATTTATTAATAATTAATTGGTTTAAGTTGATATTTTAAAAATGCCATAAGTATTATTTCTCTAAATTGTTTGCATTCTATGAATCAAATCCTTTTTCTTTATTTCGAGTCATTGAATTTGTGTACTTTAAGTTCACCTTTCTTTTTAAAATATTTTTTTTCATCCAATAATTTTTTATGCTGTTCTTTACTTTTGACGCTCATGCTAAAAGATACATTTATTCTACTAATGCACCCTGATGACTATAAAAAATAGAAATTATCATGCTCACTGGTTATCACTGAGATATTAACCTTTGCTTGATGTAAACATCCATACTATTTCTCTTTTCTTAAAACTTGGTGTTAAAATGCAAATGACTTCATCTCAGTGTGATGGATATCCTTAATGTTTGCAATAGTGGGCAACTTTCAAGGAAATGCCTTCTTACTGTCATTGTTTCATTATTAATCTCAAAATAAAGATTTTAGTTTCAATGCATTTTTAACTTATATAATTTGATTAAAGCATCCATTTCCTCATATTTCTATATTTGACTTAAGCTTATAGCTCTTATTCTCTCCTGCTATTTAAGTGTTTTTTTTCAATATCCCTTATGTTCTAATGGCTGCAATGCTTTTCTTTGGATACTAGATTGTTGAAGTTGGTGGCAAGGAGTTCAGGTTTACATGGTCTCAAGAGCTTCCTGACTTGTGCAATATTTATGAAGAACGCAGAGAAGGGGATGATGGCGATGGATTGCTTGTTGAGTGCGGCACTGCACGGAGAAAGTTGAATGTGGAACGAATCTTGGACGAGTCTGCAAAAAATCACGTGAAAATGCGGTCTGAGGAGGCTGAGCGCAAGCTTAAATCTCGAAAGTATGCTATATTTTTAAGTTATCCAATTAAACTTAATATTGTTTTAGTAAGCTTAATTGTTTTCGTTACTCAATTATTTCATGGTTTTTTTATTACTTAATTCTTTTTGATCATTGATTGCCTGAATATCTATAGTTTTGGCTACTAATGTCTATGCTTTATGTCAATTTCTGCTCTAAAGTTTTCTATTTAATGCGCTGCACTAAAAATGTGAAAGTTACTAAATCAATATTTTGCTTTAATCCGGTTGATTGATCCTGAAACATAAAGTGATTTTTTATGTGTTATTTATTTTGTTTTTTTTTTTTTTGGGTGGGGGGTTGAGTGGTGAATTTTATCCATAATCTTTCTTTTATTGTTTGGGAGCAATATTGGTCAAGTTCTTTGCTTGGTCTTGTAAAACCTAATTATTGAATGATGAATATAGAATTTTGTTCTTTATAAATGTTTTTATTAACATTTTTTGCTTCACATTTCTGATATGTTGGTTAATACTAGCTCAGGCGCTACTATTTTCATGAATTTGTGTAATTGATTGATTTGTATTGGGCTTTTAAGAGAGACAACTAAGCAGAGGCCTTGAGATTGTATGTAACGTGGATTGTAGTAGGGTCACACCAGATAATTGCTTATTTTGATAATATTGTCTATCATGTAGTAAGATTCAAAATTTTATTTTGTTGGTCTTTCCATGAAAGTTAAAATAAATCTGGTATTTTCAACTTAGTTGAGCTAATGTCTTTGTTTATTATGTGATCCTTGATGCATTATTAGAGAATGAGCCTTCAACTACAGTTTTGCTCAAAATGTAGTTTTAAACGTCCTTAAAATGTATTTTCAATTATGTTCTACATCTGAACTTTATTTTCTACTTTATAACAGAGCTATTGTGCTAGATCCAACTAATCCTTCTGTGAAGAGTCAGGCTAAATCTATGGCTGCAGCTGCAGTTGAAGGTAAACATGAACCCAGTAGCCTTCATTTTTCTGAATCTTTCGAAAGGTAATTTTGTTATTTAAGGACATTATACCAGAATCCATATTTCATTTGTATTTGATAAGTGGATGTTTTTTCTTTGGTGAAACTCTGCTCTTCTAAATCAAAAGGTGTCGAGGAATTACTGAACTTTTGAAGTCTAATTTTAAAATATTAATGGAATTACTTATGAAGATAAATATAAGCCTGAATTACTTATGAAGATAAATATAAGCCTATATATTCTGAATCATTTTTCTATGCTACACATTCTTATTCAGAATACTACTTCTCAAAATTCTGCTTTATAGTTTTGAGTTATGCGTGGACAATGTTCCACTCAAATGTTATGGTGGAGTTGGATGGTTTTAACTTTTAGGCTCTGTAAGTCCTGCAATTTATCTAAAATATGTCTTCAATCCAGGTAATATGCGGAGAATGGGTTGGAAGCACAATAAGGAAATGTTCAAGAAACGGAAAGTTGAGAATAATCAAGGAGGTGGACTATTAAGCGTTTGATTTTTTTTTTTTAACTTGTTGTTTATGTGAAGCCAATTCATTTTCATTTTTGTGCAATTTTTCGAGCAAATTTTCTCTTTTCATAATATATGTCAATGATTGCCAGTGTCATTAATACTTTTGTTTGTGTATGTTTCAGTGGCTGCAGTGTCTCAAACTAAGTCAGTTTCCAAATCAGCCACACCTTTAAATGGTAACTTTAAAAGCAACTCGGCACGTGCGCCATCTCCTCAGCAGCCCTGGCCAAGAGCTATGCTTTCTACTTCTGGAACTGGTAATACGCTAAGAGGTGATACGAACGCTGGCGAAATCACTCCCCCATTAAATATAAATAAAGAGGAAATTGACATCTCTGAGAAAGAAATGCCTACTAGAGTTGCTCGTGGATCCATGCAAGACATAAGTGGGCATGAGGGGGGACGTCCTGATCCCTCAATTGATTTGAGAAGCTTTTTGATTAGTCTACTAACACAAAACCCAAAAGGGATGAGTTTGAAGGTAAACTTGTCACCCAACTCTGCTAGTTGAAAAGCATGGATTGATCTAAAATGGCAATTTTTTTTTTCAAATATGAAGTCTCACGCTAATTCTTTGAATTTAGGTGCAGTGCTTTATATTTATTATAACTTTCTCTTTGAAAATACTTTATTGTATGAATTTCTTTTGATTATTTGAATAGGAAATACACTAACACTTTTTCCTTCTCAAATTATTTAACTACATTTGCTGACTGAATTACTGTATATGGTAACATAAAATAATACATGTTTTGGAGTGATAACAAACCTTTCCTATGACACGACTCCTATTTGTTCAAGTTATGTAATTACTTTATGCTTCAGCGAAGAGTAATTTTTTTCCTTTTTTGGGGCAAACTTTACTATTCTATCTCGTATATATTATTTATGCAAGCAACAGTCGAGGAGGAACTAAGGATGCTGCAGTTGATGAGGAACTAAGGATGCAGCAGTTGATCAGGAACTAAGGATATTGATAGTTGATAATATTTTTTTAGTCCCTTAGTCTCCCACAATTTCTTCTGAAAATAATAAATGCAGTACCGTGATCACATAAAGTCATGAAAAATCATTCCTGCAGTATGACTCGCTTAACTGTTTTAACTACGTGTAATAACACTAGACTTTAAGGAGCTTTACATGTAGGAGTTTTTTTTTTTTTTTTGGTGAATGGATGTTGGGGGATACAAATTGGAGAATTTTATCTTTTTTGTTTTATAGGCAAGCTACAATCTAAGTTATTTGATTTGTAACTGGGGACGCAGGCAGTTTCTTTTTCTTTTCTTTACCAAAATATCATGTTTTTTCTCTTTATCCTCACTGCCACACGCGCGCGCACACACACAGTGTGACATTTTTCATCTTGTTTGTGCTCTCAATAAATACCTTTCATCTTGTTTGTGCTTTCAATTAATACCTTTCATCTTGTTTGCGTTAATAAATGCGAGCTTAAGTTTACATTATCTTAGCTATGTTTGGAGTTTTTTTAATATGAATAGATTATTGAATCTTTACTTACGCTTGTTCTGTATTAATGTTTTATGTGTCCAGGCATTAGAAAAAGCGGTGGGAGAAAGGATTCCCAACTCTCTGAAGAATATGGAGATTGTTCTGAAAAATGTACGCATTGCATTATTTTTAGATTATTTTAATTTGTTGTCTCAATAAACAGTTGTCATATTTTGGTGACCAGATTGCCATATTCCAAGCACCAGGAAGGTATTTATTGAAACAAGGAGGACAAGTAGAAAGTTCTAAAAGAAGTTCTGAAGGTGGAAGGTATTGTATTTTTATCGTGGTTGCGGCTACATTCACTAGCCTTATATAAATTTAGTTTCAGACATATCATTGTTCTGCATATTGCTAATAATGTCCAAGCTTCTTCATAACATATTGGTTATGGTGATAAGTCAACAAACTGCATATTTTTCATGTAATATTGCTTTTGCAAATTGTAGTCTAGAATATATATATTTTTAATTTTTTCTCTTGTGATTCCTCAGATGATATCAACATTTATAACAAAAAATATTTTTTATTCTTTCCAAGGTTTAAATTTGCATAATTTCGTACTGAGGCATTTCTTTGCGAGAAGAGACGTAATCCTGAATGCGTTTTAAGATGTAAGCCTCAAATTAAAAAAAAAAATGCATAAATTAAGAATTTTGTATAAATTATAAAGTGTTAAGTAAGAAATAACATTTTTTATTTTAATTTATCGACACATTAAAAAGTAGTATAAGAACATTCTAACTAATTAAAAAAATAATAAATTTAGTAAAACTAGAATTAACACATTAATATCCTGACATCATATTATGAAATAAGATGAGTTATAGAGGTATCCAACTATAAAAGTAAGTTATGTTATTAAAATAAAATACTAAAACATTAAAGCATAACAATCAAATTAAGTATAACATAATTCTTTCTCTTTCATTCATACCACCCCTCACTTAAATAAGATATTACAAGTTATCAACATCTAAATTCTTAAATTTAAAAGTTCCAATTACTCTCATCACCCAATTGATTTTCGTTAGAATCATCAGCAGAATGAATTGTTTATCTCGCGCCCTATCTTTAGTTGCTTATGTATCCTCCTATTCTCTATTATCTTTAAGTTCATTCACATACATAGCACACAATTCTTATGTTTTTACATATCTCGCCCCTAAACTTTTATATTTACACATGTAACACTCAAATCTTTAATATCACATAAAAATAACACAACTGCCATTTCTTAAAAATCAGATGCACCTTTTCATGCATATGTTTAAAGCACCAAAGTGATAATGCGTAAATATTAAAATTTAAGTGTGAGATATGTAAATACATTTTGTGCTATGGATGTAAATTTTCATATCTTTAATCCCAACTATCTTCTATTTTTTAATTAATTATCATCAATAAAAATATTAATTAAAATAATAACTATGTTGATAGTTAAAACATTAATTACATAAATTTTTATGGATATATTTTCTATTTATTTATTATTATTTAGTGCGTGAGGTATGAGGTTTAATAAGTGAGTTATATTGATATTACTTTCAATTTTGTTAAAAAAAAATTCCTGGTAGCCTTAAAGTTTTAAGTCATTTCCTGTGACAAGGTGTGCCTCAACCTTGGTGAGGCGTATTGGGACTATGAGGTGTATGTCTCATTGTAGATTTTTATGAAAAATGTTAAGGCGGGCCTCAAGGCATGCCTCGTATTATCACAATTCTAACAATGATACTTTCTAATATATAAACTTTTCTTTCCGGTTCAAGAGTTTTTTATTATTATTATTATTTTTTGTAATCTAAATTGTTTATATTATTAATTTTTTGTTGGATTTATAACCACTTCGAGTGTGAACATTGTTGTTTCTATATCTCGAGATTATTTTATTTGCTACATGCCACAGCTCTTTGCCTGAAAAAATGCATACACTCCACAAAATGTTTTTACTTGCTTCATGAATGTTTGCTACTTAATTACTATTAATTCTCTAAATACATTTGGCTTTCTATTTGCTTCCTGATTCCTTTTTAATTTTTTGCTCTTACAACTTTGCAAAGTAATATCATTTTATTGGGATTATATAAAGCTATCATGTTGGTTAAGTAATCATGGTTTGTTATTGTTTAAGTCTCAAGTGATGTGAAGGGCTGTTTGGTTTACTGACATCTATTATGTAATGCAATGTTGTTAGTAGCTGTCAACTTTTTGGTTTCTTGATATGTATATTATCAGTATTAAGCATTTAAATGCATTATAATTATGTTTCACTGATATCTAATTGTCATCCAAATCGGGTGATATCTACCAAACATAGCATTTGACAAATGATACTGTATCGAACACAAGGCCAATAATTTTGACCAATAATATTTTGAATTTTTTCAAATTTCTTCACAATCCGGTTTCACCTATTTTTTGTAAGGAAAATTAGACATTAAATGCATTTTGAATGATTTTGTGTTAGGAGTTTCGGCTTGTTATCATTACACCATTAATTACTTAATAACACCGACATATGTTATACAGCGAACCAAACAACATCTACCTAATACTAGCTTGCTGCATCCATTCCTGTTTTCCCCCTCTTTTTTCCTTATTTTTCTGTTTTTGATTTTATGGAAAGAAAATTTTCTTTCTCAGCATTTCAACCCAGTTCGCCATTCTTTACGTCTTTCCAACTTAGACCTAGTGCATCAGACTCACCAGGAAAACACTGACAAAAAAAAAACTGCTCCAAAGCTTACTTTTTTGAGTCCAGAACTTACAGATGTTTCTTTTGGAGGGCAAGTCTGGAGTTGTGGTTAAGGCATCTCCATTGTGATCTGGAAGTCACGGGTTCAACTTTTATGTCATGCCCTTGGGTTTAAATTTTATGTTATGGAATAACCTTTTTGTAAATACAGGAGTAAGGATGCTTGCATGATCCCATACCTCATATAATAATGGGTGTTTCACGCATTGGGTATACCCTTAAATACAATTTCTTTTTCACAATTCACTCTAGGGCTGAATCTTTCTTTCTTTGTGGCTTTTGTTTTTGTTCTTTGAGTAGCTTTTTTACTGTTTATCATCTTCAGTGTTATTGACCGGCTTTGCAGTTCTCCAGAATGCTTAACCAAGGAAACCAGAAGAGCTGCTGCAATATTGTCCGAGAAAGCCATTGTTAAAAGTTTGGATCAAGAAAGTTTAAGCTCAAAGCATGGAGAAGGTTCTGATCTCTTTGAGAGGATTGATATAATGCATGACACTGAAGATCCATTAGATATAGAAGGGAAGACTGGAGGAAATAATGAGGTAAGAGCAGGCGGCTCTAGTGAAAGTGGGAGTGATAGTGACAGTGAAAGTGACAGCAGTAGTGAGAGTGAAAGTGGAAGTCGAAGTAGGAGCAGAAGTAAAAGCAGAAGCCCTGCAGGAAGTGGCAGCATAAGTAGCAGCAGTAGTGAGAGTGATGACTCTTCTAGCAGCAAGGAGGCATCTGACATGGATGTCGATATCATGACTAGCGATGATCAGAAAGAGGTTGCCGCACAAAGGATGAATGTGACCATGTCAAAGTTATCACAGTCACCGCATGATTGGCGATCTAGTGGTGAACATGACATAAATAATAACATTGAAATAGATCAAAATGCAAATGGTGCATCTACCGCTATAGATTTGACTGGTTTTGGAATTATGCATGAAAGGGTGGACTCGGTTGTAGATGCTAAAAATCTCGTTATTGACAGAAGCACCGATTCATTTGAGAAGCAGGAAGAAAAAACTGTTGAGGTTTTGGGCAACGAGCAGGCATCTTCTTTTGTAAATTCTCATAATGATGACAGGTTCTTTGGTAGAAAAGCATTCAGCGAGAAACAAACTGTGATTAAGGATGGAACTGGTAAGCAACCAAACAAAAGATTTCCCAAAGCAAGCAGTAAAAGGTCTTCTAATCCAGAGTATCTGCCTGAGAAACCTGAAAATGTTAAGAGGATGAAGGTTTCAAGCTCAGCTGAAGCCTCTTTTGGAAAAGAGAATGGCGCCCTTTCATCGAAAAACTTGTGCTATTTGTCTCCTGAAAGACCTACGCGCATCGATCAAAAGACGAAGATGATCAATTATCATAAAAAAGGTGAGAAAAGGGAAGTCAATTTACTGGAAGGAAGTTTTCCAGAGCAAACTAGATGTGCAGCATCTGGAAGCATTGATAGGGTTCAGAGTAGTCCAGATTTCCGCGGTGCTGCCAATTTAGCTGCCGAACAACCAATCCGAAAAGTTGCTGATTCCAGCGGAAGAAAGAAAACTTTGAATATGGAGAAAGCAATTAAACATGCTGAGAACCTTGGAAGAGCTAATAAGCCTCTGCAAACTGTGTGTGGCCTTCCAGAGTCTGATACATCTGCTCTGAAAAACATGCCTGTTGATAAAAATTCGAACTTAAAGATGAAGCCGGATGAAAATACTAATGCTTCAGATAAATATCATGCTAAAATTGCAAAGGAAATTCCTAAAATTAATAAGAAATCTGTTGATGATTATATATCACACATGCACAATTTTGATGTGAACGGTAGAGGAAATATTCTTAGAAGAGAGTTTTCCGATCTAGAATTAGGTGAATTTCGTGAGTCTATTACTGATGGAGTGGGCGAGGATAAAAGACAATTTGAGAGAACTAACTCCTCCAAAAAAATGGAAAACAGGGTTACTATTTCTGAAGTAGATGCTGTTGATATAAACACAGGCAAATGTGATGAAAATGCTTTTTCTGATTCAAAGAGGCAATCACCCAACAGTTTTAGAGAAGTAATTAATGGTAAGGAGTCGAATGATTGTGTAGATTCATCTCGATCCCAATTAAGATTATCGCAGGCCCAATCTCGGCAGTCTTTGAGAACGGATTTAGGTGAACCCGAAAAGTTGACTCGTTTGGAAAAGTGCACTGAATCCGGTGGCAAAAATGGGACAAAAATTGCTGCCTCCAGAATGCTAAAAGATGACAATAGACTTAATGGTTTGACTGACCGTACAAATATTAAAGAGTCTAAATCTCAAAACTCCAATGGATTGAAGGGATCAATGGATAGAGATATTGATGTTTTTTGGATGCAGAATGACACCGATGGCAGGAAAACCTTAGAATTTTCTTCTTCTGAGGAGAATGCCACTTACATGAAATATGAAAAAGATGAGCTTGGCTTTAGAGGCCCGATCAAGGAGTTCAGTATGTAAGTTTTTTCATTCTTAAATCATGAAAAATGCTCTCTCATAAGCAACCCGGCTTATTGTCATTCTACTTGATTTGAATTCTGCATCTTTTGTCTGGTTTTCTCAAACATTGTGAATGGTTTTCGTTATGTATCACACAATTTGACGCTTGTCCGTCAGCTTATTTTTTTTCTAAGTACTATATCTTACGGTAAATTTCAATTTGTTATTAATGGCGTGTTTAGTGGAAGTCAGTGCGGAGTCATGTATATAATTTGCAAATTATTATCTGCCCCCAACTGTAAATAAGTTTTCTTCCTCCTGATCTTTTTATCTTTGCACGTGTTTTATGGAACTAATTTCTTGTTTACAGGTACAAAGATTATGTGCGAGAGTATCAGGAAAGATATAGCCATTATTGCTTCTTGAACAAGAAACTGGAGAAAAATCGGTAATGAAGGGCATGTTTAACGTATTATTTATTCATACTTAGTCAACATTTAAAAATTGCTTTAGGCATTAGTTTCAAACATCTTTTTTCATTCTACTTTTGATTTTTTTCCCCCTTGATTTTGGTTTCTTATTTTTCCGTACAGTTGTACCTTTATATTATTATTATTTATTTATATAATTAGTACTATTTAACATTAAAATTTATAACATGGAGATTTATTTGTAACTAACTATGGATATGGATGATAATCTTAATAAAGTGGGTTTTGGCCAAAAGTTTTGTTCAGATTCTGAAAATTATTTAAATATTATAAATTGTCGCATTTACCATGCGCAGTAATGACTTTCTCAAAGTTGGGGATGCCATTGAGTTTGCCAGAGGAAGGGACATGGGAGAATACTACAACCTTGTGGAAAAATTGAGACAAATGTATCAGCAACGTGGAGAGGTATACCTTGGACGCTTCATTAGTTATTGTAACCAAATTATTGTTGCTTAAATGTAATTGACATATATCATTATTATATATTCCGGGCTAATTATATCATTTCATAATTTTTAATTAGTAAGATTTTACATGCATGCCACTCAATTCCTATTTATTTATATTTCTAACACCTAAACTTCTATTTTTACATATATTTAACACCTTTCCTGCACATGAAAAGTTGTATTACACTTTTTAAAAGTTAAAAATGTGGTATTTTTATGTGATGTGAAAGATTTGGGTCGCATAAATGTAAATTTTTTTCTCTGAGTTTTTAGATGTGTAAATACATAGGAATTGGTTGATATTTAAAATAGTCCTTTTTAATGTTTTATAATTTGCTGTTAAACTTTTTTCTAGAGTTTTTTTACAATCCTTAGGGAGGCTTTTCATGATTTGGTGGTTTCATTTTTAAAGCAGTTCATGTTCAAATTTATCTTAATGTGGTAAACGAATATTACACAATGATCTGTATCATGATTTTCTTAGCTTTCTTTATGTGATGCTCTTCCTGCTTTCTTGGCTGCAGAGACATAAAGAAATGAAGAGGATCTTCATCTTGTTGCATGAGGACTTGAAGGTATTAACATTTTTTTTTTTTCAAACAATCATAATTTTTACAAGTGTCAAAATAGTTCCCTACTATTTGTATTTGATCATTTTAGTCCCAAAGTTTATAAGTGTCAAAATAGTCCTCTGGCTTCTGAAATTGATGTTGAAATAATCCCCATGGAGGACGATTGGAGCACAGTTTTAAAATAGTCGGGGATTATTTTGACACTTTACTCTTATTATTATTATTATTATTTTCAAATAGCATTATCTATAAAGTAAATATCTAAAACCTAACTCTAAAATCTTCAATTTTTTTTTATAGAATTTAAAGCGGAGAAATTTATTTGGGATCGTTTTTGTCCCGAAGTCTATAAACGTGCATCTAAATTGAGGCTGAAATAATTACCATTGAGAACTATTATGGCACAATTTATAGATAGCTGGTGACTATTTGACAATTTATTCTTCTTATTATTATTTTTTTTCGGAAAAGCATTACCTGGAAAGAAAATCTCTAAAACCTAACTCCCAAATCTATAAACTTTTTTTTTTATATAGAATTTGAAGCAGAGAATTAAGGATTTTGCTGAGGCCCAGTCAAGGGAATGAAGCAATAAAGTTCTTTTCGAGGTTTGGTATTTCTTTCTTTTATCTTTCCATTTATTGTAATATTTATTTTTCAATATATATTGAACTGTTAAATATCTTCTAGAAGCATCTCGATTAACTGGAAGCTGGCCTTTGCTTCGAGACCAGTTGTACATACTTCAATTAAAATATCAGAGTTGTCCAAAGAAAAGAGTAGATAGTGATGCCTGCACATGTGCCCTTCCTGGTGTTTTTTCTACATAGGGCGGCGTCATCTTTTTCTCGAATTACATCTGTGGTGTTCCATATGATCAGTTTTCTATGGACTGCTGCCAGGAGTTTTTCTTCCGGTTTTGCTTTGGACCCAGAAATTTTGAGGCGTTGGGATGGAGCAGAAGCAAAAGAATCAGTTTTGTTTTGTTTTTGTTTTTTTTAGGGTTTACATATATACCACTCAATACTTATTTATTTACATATCTAACACTTAAACTTCAATTTTTACATATAAACCACCTTACTTATGCATCAAAAAAGGTATGTGATTTTTTAAAAGTTAAAATAGTGATATTTTTAATATGATAGGAATGATTTGGGTGGCAGAAATATAAATGACAAAGTTTCAGTGTTAGATATGTAAATACATATGAATTGAGCGGTTTGTAACGGCCCCTTTTTTTTTGAAAGAGGTTTGTTTACTGGTTCAGCGCTTCAAAATGTAAATTATTTAATAATTTGCAGCTATTGATTCGATTGAATAAAATTATTTGTAATTAGTGTAGTTATTTAGTGGGTGAAGGATCAGGAAAGTTTCAGCTTTTGTTGCATAAAAAGCATGTTTTTTTTTTTAAATTTTCTTGAGGCATCTTAAATTTTAGGAAGATTTACATGCATGTCATGCAATTTCTATATATTTACGTATCTGATGCTTATACATTGATATTTACGTGAACATCACTTTATCTATGCATGAAAATATGTATTTCATTTTTAAAAGTTAATAATAGTGATATTTTTGATGGGATATGAAAATTTTGAGTGTTAGAAATGTAAACATCAAAGTTTAGTTGTTAGATATGTAAATTCATAAGTATCATGTGGTGGTCTATATAAGAATTATGTGGTTGGTATGTAAATGCCCTTAGATTTAATTTTTAATCTTCTTTTAGAAAGCAACAAGAAAATAGTTCCTCAAAGAGAACTTTGGTGGTGGTCTGAAACACAATAGATATAAAACTATCTCAAATGTACCCTTAATTTTAAACTTCATCAATTCTTGTTGGCCTTCTAGATTGCTTTCGCCATAACCTAATTGCCCTTTTCACTATTGTTATGAGGTTATTTACATCAAGTGTAGTGAGCATCATAATATCTATTAAAATAGAGGGGCATTACACCCAAATTCTATGTATTTTCATATCTAAGACCTAAATGTGTGGGCATTGCATTTATATCACCTAAATGTTTTATATCAAATGCTATTATTAAGATGCCATCTAATGATTTATTAAATATTTATGAATTAATGTGAAGGAGAAAGTGAGAAATTATGGGGATCAATCATTGACTAAATTAGCTTAGAGTTCATTTAAATTAAATATAATTTCTAAGTGCACAACTTAGGGTCTGTTAGAGGCAGTTGCAGGTTAGCTGCCCCAGAAAGTTATTGTGGGGAAACAGTTGTGTATAAGTTGACTGGCTTTTTGTTTTATGCGGTTTGAAAACAGCTGACAGCAGTTGTTTTTGAATAAATACCACTCAGCCCCTGTGTAATAATGTTGTTTGTAACAAAACTGTCACAGACATATATTTGATACTTCAGAAACAAAAATTCACTTATGAATGATACAAAAATCAAGATAAGCACCTTGCTTAATAGTGAGTATGAAGATTGTTGAAATGGCTATCAATACATAATATTCTCACAACAAACAGAAGCACCACCAACAACAACATCTCAGCTATCAAGTACACAACAAAATTTATCACTACAATCGAAATCCAACACTAACAACACTATAGCCAAAAAGTACCTTTGAGACATTTCTTATAGAATTTTTCAAAGTGAATCCAAGGTGTATCAATGCATAATATTCTCTCAAACAGATTTCCTGAGGCTCTGTGATGCAAATGCCTCACTCCATGAAGTTACTGTGTGTGAAAATAATTTCTTTTTAGCATAATTTTTTTAAAATTTGGTTTGTATGAGCATGGTGAAACAATCATGGTGAAGCAATCCTATTATATTTGTCTCCTAGCAGTGATGGTAATGATCATGAAAATCTTGATAAATTAAAAAGTACTGTTGAGTCATTACTTACAGAATTTTTTAAAGTGAGCCCAAAAGGTATCAATGCATAATATTCTCTCAAACAGATTTCCCACGGCCTCTATGATGCAATGCCTCACTTCATGAAGTTTCTGTGTGAAAAGAATTTCTTTTTAGCATAGATTTTGAAATTGTGTTTGCATGAACATGATGAAGCGATCCTACTGTATTTGTCTCCTAGCAGTGATAGTGATCATGACAATGATGATCAATGAAAAAATTTCTTCGAGGCATTTCTTATAGAAATTTTCAAATTATACCCAAGAGTTATCAATGCTTAATATTCTCACAACAAACAAATGCATCAACACCAACAACACCCCAACTATCAAGTACACAACAAAAATAAACACCACAACGGAAATCCAACACCCCTATACGCCCTCTTCTTCTGCTCAAATTCACAGCAAACAGAAGCACCAACACCAACGACACTCCAGCTCTCAAGTTTACAACAAACAGAAACACCACACCCCATAAGGCCTCTTCTGCTCAAATTCACAACATATAGAAACACCAGCACCAAACAAAAACACCACAGGTAAAATCCACCACAAGAAGCAAAAGCAACGACATCAAACAGAAACGTGAAATAGAAACACCACAACCAAAATCCAAACCTACCAAATTCACGAGAAACCAAAAGATCTCAAAGATTAGGTGCAAAAACCATCTAGAGAACATAGGGAAAAGAGATACTGGAAGAAGATGGCGTCTTAAATGACGGGTTAGGGCAAAGGACGTAAGATATATGGGGAAGGAAAGGGCAAATGAAGAAACGGGGTCGGATCCAAGGTGCAATCGCATAAATGAAAAGAGGAGAAGAGCGGCCCAGAGCAGCGCCGCTGGAAAAACGCCGCCCCAAACAACAGAGAAGAGCAGACGAACCCTCAATATGATTCAAGGTTGTAATAGATATTCAAGTCTGAAATCTTATATCATAATTTTGATTATTCGATATTCGACGTATATGAATATGATTGTGATTTAGTTACCGTTCATAATGACTTAAATGATTGGTTTCTATGTAAAAACAAAATTACCTTTCCAATATTATTTATGTTCATATTATTAGTTAGATATTGAAAGAATTAAACTAACCCTATCAACCTAATAATTCTAGTGTTGTTATTTTATAATTTATATTTTCAAAAGTATTGGTTTAACAATAAAATTTTTAGACACCCCTATTTTTATTTAGGAAATTTGCATAGGCAACACAAATTTCTTATCAATTTACATATCTCAAACTAAACTTTTTATTTATTTATTTATTTATTTATTTATTTGTGTTTTTTTAATGAAATTTTGCATAGATAACACACAATTCCCTTACATTTTTCCTCATTTGCACTTCAGTAGCTATAACTTTTAAAAACTGCACTCAACATATTAACCTTATGGCCATAATAATTGAAGGAGTAGCCGCTATAGATAGAGTGGCCCGCTCGAGAGCATGCATTATTTAATTATTTTTAGATTGACTTTCGAAAGTAGATTTTTGTAACGTTTAAATGTCTTGCACTGTTCTCATGTCAAATAATATTTATAAATTTACTTTCTGCCTGCGCAACATTCTCAGATCATATGATCAAGTATTTAAGGAACTGGTCGGAGCACATACGTTCTTTTGGTGCTTGGAGTAGGTCATTCTTGGTATACTATTTGCACGAAACTTGAAGTATTTAATATTTTTCGTGGTGTTGTGCTTGAAATTTGGTGCATAAATCTTAAAGCGTTTAATGTTATGTAAGGTCGTGTGTTTGACTCGACGTTAATTGTCCAGGGAATGTTCAAGCTCGAGCATGTAAAATTTCATTTTGGGACTCTAAAGTTTGCCTATGTTTGCTCTTACATATAGGGGTGTAAACGAGCCGAACACGAGCCAGCCAAGACAGCTCGTGTTCGGCTTTTGTTCGTAAGGAGTAAAAGGGGAGCCGTTCAAGAACAAAGAAACATTTTGACAACCCTAATTACGTAGCCATAAGATGTTGAGGATTAGGGCAAGTATTAAAACATCATATGAATCTAATTTAATAATTTATATTTTATTTTCTTAATTAATACTTTTAATTGATAATAAATCTTTGTAGCCTTTTAGTCAATTAAATTATATATATATATATAATTGATTAGTAGTATTTCGAGCTAAAACGAGTCGAACACGAATGAATAAATATTGATTCGTGTTGTTCGTGTTCGGCTCGTTAACTTAGCGAACGAGCCGAATATCAGCTTCTTAGCGAGCCGAACACGAGCTGTTTGCGAACAACGAGCAGTTTTGACAACCTTACTTACATAAACCCTTCAAAAATAATAATAATAATAATACGTGATCCCAAATGACCCCTAAAATGTTCATAAATATTTTTTTAGTTTATAACATATTACTAATAAGCATATTTTATCTTTTATTACATCAAGGTATAATTTTTCATAATCAACTATTCATTAAAAAAAAAAAAAGGATTACATGCTTCCTTGACATCAAATGCATATGTATTTGCACACCTAACGCTTTAATTTTGATTTTTACGTTCATGTAAAAGTCTTTCATATCACATATAAGTATATAACATACCGCTATTTTTATTTCTAGAAAATGAAATATACCTTTTCATTTATATGCATGGCTGCATATATGTAAAAATTAAAATTTAGGTGTTAGATATGTAAATACATAAAAAATTAGTGGTGTGCTTCTGAATCTTCCTTAAATTTTACATAAAATATATTTTTTAAGAAATTATACTCTTAAAAGGATTTTTTTTGGATTTTTTAATTCATAAATTTAGGAGGACACTTCTATGTCTTGTCCGACACAGTCGGAATATAGGCTCCTTTATTAGAAATGTACGTACATCATAACCCATACATGTCAAACAGTGAAGGCTACTTAATTAGAACTGTGAGTACATCATACGCAATGACATGAACACATTGAGTTATAAGAATCTGATTTGCCTCAGGTTGGGAGTTCGAATCACCCTCTTGCACAGTTGGCCTTAAGACTGTGTTACTTGAATTATTAGACACATTAGGGATAGCTGGAGACTTATATAATAACTTCTAATCATTATTTTTTTCTTACAAAAATGAAAAATAAAAAATAAATGCCACCTATCATGACTGGTTGGCAGAATTTTTATGACTCCTGGCTTAATCCTGCGTATGCGTGGAATAGATTTCTTAGGCACTTGAAGTTGGTCGAGAGGCTAATATCTTCTGGCCAATCTCTATGCAATATATATATATATATATATATATATAATTTTCCACGAAAGTTTTTTTTTATTGTTCATTTCATTAATTTAGAAGCATTTTTTAACCCTATCATTCATGTAATGGAGCGGAAGAGGACTGATTGATTACGATCAAACAAAAGATTAACGTGACAAAACGTTGACAGACTAACCAACTATTTTGACCGTATTTTTGCATGCGTCGCCAGGTCAAAAAGTGGTTCGATGAATTTTGACTTGGGGCCGCATCGGCTAACCAAATTAAGCCAACTAATAACGAGGATTAGGAAGTCAAATCTGATCATTTTTCAATAATTGGGGCATTTACATATATACCACCCATTTAATATCACATATCCATCAGCTAATCTTAACCTTTTACATGACAGTACATATTTTATTTATTTACATAGCTAACACCTAAACATTTCTATTTATATAAATGCCACGGATCTTCAGCATCAAATGAAAATTCCACCAAGTACATACTTTCATGCATAATCATGACATCAAGATGTTATAAATGTAAATATCAATCTTCGTCCGATTATGTAAATACATGTGAATTGAATGATACGCATGAAAATCTTTCTTTCCATTTTCATGGATTCATAATCCTTCACTCATAAAAGAATTTATCCGCCTCCTGCTCCCATCATTATTTAAATCATCCATCATAAGTTGGGCTGTCAAAATGGCTCGTTGTTCGCGAACAGCTCGTGTTCAGCTCATTCAGAAGCTCGTGTTCGGCTCGTTCGCTAAGTTAACGAGCCGAACACGAACAAATATTTGTTCATTCGTGTTCGGCTCGTTTTGGCTCGAAATACTACTAATCAATTATATATATCTATATATATATATATATATTTGATGAGTAGTATTTTTTAAAAAAATTAATTGACTACAAGGCTACAATATTTAAAGTATTAATGAAGAAAATAGAATAAAAATAATTAAATTAGATTTAAATGATGTTTCAAATCTTACCCCAATCCTTAACATCTTATGACTATGTGATTAGGGTTGGTGTTCGTGAAAGGCTCATGTTCGACTCGCTAAGCAAACGAGCCGAACACGAACATACTTTTTGAGCTCGAAATATAAATGAGTCGAACAGGAGCTGAGCCCAGGCTCGCTCGGCTCGCTCGTGTTCGACTCGTTTACACCCCTAATTATAAGGAGAATAATATAGTTGATGTTCTGATTAAGATTTAAACAAAATAAATTTTCAATATATTAAATTGATTTTGAAATAAAGGTAATATAAATAAATCAATAAACACTGGTATTATGTTATAAAAGTAAAAAAAATTAAAAGTTAATAAGTTATTGTAAGCAAATTTTAATTTATATATCCTCATAAAATTTTTCTCCATTGGCAATATTCAAAAACGGACAAGATATTATAAGGATCATTTTTATATATAAAAAAAGATTCAAAATCAATAAATATAAACCCTCAAATATTATGCTGGAATCATTTTTTAATTAAATAACTTTAACAAGAATTTTCTGTTTCCGTCCGGATGTCCGCATATTCTGACGGCCAAGCACTGGCGGCTTCGTCGCCCACCCACCTACTAATGACGTGTATGACGATTTGGCCACCGATGATTATCCGCCCAGATGTGCAGTGTCCTAGCGGAATATTTTCTCTAGTCTCGAGCAGTTGCTAAGCAACTCGATAAGGGTTAGAGGAAGCATTTTATCAGTAAGGCATGGCTGAGGTATAGTTGGAATTGGTCATTAATCTTTGTAGCTCATAAAGATAAAAAACAAAAAAAAAATCTTCCAGTTGTGCACATTGTTCTCAAATCTAACTGTGAATGCCAGTGGGAGAAAAAAAAGGACAAATCTACGTTTATAAGACTTCATGGTGAATAAATGGTGAAGTACATTGAGAGGCCAATTAATATTCTTGAATCTCATACACTTAATCACCAATGTTTTATACTAGCAAATGAGTTCAGTATTTTCTTAGTATTGTTCCATGAAATTTGAGAAAATCATCAATTCCAATTTCTACACATAGGGGTGTAAACGAGCCGAGCTTGAGCGAGCTCAGGCTTGGCTCGTGTTCGGCTCGTTCGAAATAACTCATTTTCAAAATCGGCTCGTGAACTTTGTGTTCTTGTTCGGCTCGATTTAAATATTTGTGTTCATGTTCGGCTCGTGTTCGACTTGAAATTGGCTCGTTAAACTAAAATTGAGAAAAATAGATGTAAAGTGTGGGATTTGAACTTGGATCAAATCTATATAAAAAAAGACACTAACCAATTACCACATGATGTGTTATGATTTAAACTTAGATATGTATATATATATGTATATATATATGTATACATATGTATAGATATGTATACATATATGTATAGATATGTATACATATATGTATAGATATGTATACATATATGTATAGATATGTATACATATATGTATAGATATGTATACATATATGTATAGATATGTATATATATATATATTATTATATAAATAATATATGTAATATATTAATATATAAAATGTTATATAATTTTTTTTTCGAGTCATTTCGAGCCGAACACAAGCGAACAAACTATTGTTCGTGTTTGGCTCGTTTACATTTCGAGCTTAAAAAATTGTTTGTGTTTGGCTCGTTAGGCTTAACGAACGAGCCGAACACGAGCTGTTCACAAACAACGAGTTAAATTAACAGCCTTATCTACACACATGGGAAAGCTTAGAACCAACATTAAATGGTCTTGATGACAGCATATTGCATTGTCTTATAGTTATGGCAAGTTTAGGAACCATCCTCCTGTGCTAGGTGAATATTGTTTGCATCTCCAAAGACATAGTAAACTTGAATGGCATTTAAACTGATCCCTTCTAACTTGCACAATCCTGGAAATGAATCATTTGTAAAGGTTTGGTGGTTGTTGTAGAAGAGAAACCATTTCTCTCAAGCAAAGAGTGGTGTGCTAATCAATAAAATTTCAAGCTAGAAGAGCGGAAGAAAGTGCAAAGAAGAATATCAGTAGGTCCAGTGTCGTACAACTCATCGTTCAACTCACGAAATGATGTCTTCAATTCAATTAGTTGATTCAACAATTTGATTTTCTGAGTCTCAATTGCCCATTTGAATTTGGGCACCTTTTTGGTGAGATCTCAATTCTCTTCATCATCACAACAACAACATTGACATCAAAAGTAATTGTAAGTTGTAATGAATAGTTTGTTAGTGATCTCTTTGAACAAAGAAATTGAAGTTAACATGCACTTCAGGCCCTCGAGCAAGTGGAGGGGTCGCCACAATTCTCTAAGTTACTAATTGAATATTTTCACTAATAGCTGCATTTACAATAACAAAATAACATATTTGACAAGCACATATAAGACCATTGAGCCAAAACACACTCTTATCTTTAGTAGGCGAGTCTTTAATATGGGTTTCAAAAGCTACAATATGCATTAGGACGAACCTAGGCAACTTCCTCAGGACTTGTCTCTTCACATTCCCTTCTTGTTGGAGGTAATTGATCAACAAATTTAATGATTTACACAACAATATTTTCCTCAACAAATTGAGATAAAGCATGCTAATCAATAGATCTCTCCTCAACTATAAGTTCACTTTGAGTGAACTGTACTCACAATCAAAGCAAATGTACTACTAATAATTTACCAAATTAACTTTTTTCAAATATCATACATCAACATTAACTTCCAACTCATTCCATATGCTTATGTGCTTTAAAAATGCTTGTGTTTAGTTTTTAGAAGATAACAAGAGAAAACATAAGATACATTTGAATAGTTTTTATTGAATTGATGAAATTTTATTAGGGTATTTACATACATGACATACCACGCAATTTTAATGTATTTACATATCTATAACCTTAAGTTTTATATTTACATTTATAACAATTTGGTATCATAAACCCATGTTTGCATGAAAATGTGTATTTCAATTTGATATGGATGGAAATACCCCAATTTTATTTTCTTATTTTACTATCAAATAAATTAAAAAATCAAAAAAATTAAATATGTATAATTAAATTCTTTTTACCAAATTAAAGGATATTGGCCAACACCTGACATGTGATTAAGAATCAAGATCTCACCAGAATATTTCACGCATGATTCAACAATACTAGAGGCCAAGATGATAAGTTTTTACACTAACATTCTCAACAACCTCAAAAATACAATTAAACAATATGAATATGCCTTTTGCAACAGCAAATAAATAAAAAAAGCACCTACCAAGCACACCAATGCAATTACAGAAAACTAAACTACTCGTTGGAAGAAATTGACTTTAACCATTTGCTTTAAAACTTCTATAATTGCTTCATAAAAGAACTTGTAGACAGCACGATTTAAGAAAGCAAACCAATCAAATCATTACGTTCATGCAAATTCAACAGTGCATAACAAAATATTTCATTAGTAGATTAAATATTAAGTAGGAGCTTGAAATAATAAGATTTAACCTTCAAATAAACAAAAAAACGTGTAATTTAAGCATATTTACCAAGACATCTCTCTTTGGGTCGATTTGGGGCAGATGTACCTGATTAAGAAGCATCTATAAAGCTATTAACAAAAAAGTTACTGTTCAAAAAGCTAAGCTTTTCAAAAATCAGACCACAAGTTTCTAACAGTTATAACATTTGGTTGGGCCAGGTTGTAAAACACAACTTACCAACGTAAAAAAAATGTGGTGCGGCATCGCACCACCACCACCACAAGAATAAATTATCATTCATCAAAACAGAGAAATCACAACTTAATTCCATAGTCACAAGAGTTCTCAGCATAGATTTAAATCCTCAACGACAATGACACACATAAATCACAGACATAAACAGCAAAAACAGCAAATCACACAGACTTCACACAAATTAAAAGCATAAAAGCATAAAAGCATACTAAAACTAACATAAATACCCAAGAAGCATCTTTCACGTAATAGACATTTTCATCCCCCGGAAGCTTCATGGCTTACCTCTCCTCCTCCCCCTTCATCCTCTTAACAGAGCAGACAACCTCCTTCCAATAATATATAACCAACCAAAACACTAACAGAAAAGAGCTTCAATGGCAACAAGTAAAAAAGCCTAAAGGCCAGGCCTTGATCTTCTTTCTGCTGACCTCCTGCCCCTTTGCTTCTCATTAATGCCTCTTCATTCATCAATATATCCAAGCCTACTACTATTATTACCATCATTTCAATACAGGGAGAGATGTTCTTCATAAGAAGATTATTAGGATAAGGAGGTGGCACTGAGCGAAGACTTCGCTCTTAGTTTCAACAACTTCAGATATTGAATGGCTTCATCAAGCACAGAGACAGTATCCTTCCCATCTCCGCCGGGTATAATCTTTCTCAGGACTCTCACAGTTTGTTTAATTCGCTCCTTCTTATTTCGCTCTGCTAAATCATCTTCTTCTCGTACGTAACCGGAGCGAGGAGCGAATACAGAGCTCGCTGTGTCAACGAGCGATGAATCAAAGTCAGTAGAACTGACTCGGCGGCGCTTGCATGGGATATGAGAGCTTGTAATGTCTTCTTCTGCCATGTCAAAGGGGGAATGACCCGTGCTGGTCTCTTCATCATCTATGTATTCAGAGTCGGAGTAAAGAAGGGCATCAATTTCTTCAGTGTTTTCATGCATTTCCTCCTCTTCAATTTCATGGTACTTGGATTCATGAGCATAGTTTAAAGGTAGAGGAGGATTCAAGCCCTCAAATGGATTCGCTACAGAACTAAAAACCAAGCTGGTTTGGTCCCCAGAGTGATCGAAAATAAGGAACTTTTTTGTCTGAGTGATGGATTGTTGTTCAGAAGAGCTGTTTAGAGGATTCAATGGCGGGCAATAAAAAGGAGAATCAAAATGAAGGAAGCTCCCCTGAGTTCCAAAACCAGTTAATTGTTCATTTGGATTGACAGAGAAAGAACAGACATAAGGATTAATTGAGTTCTGCTGTTGCCCAGCATCAGGAGGCCAAAGTGTATTGCCAGTATTTAAGTTACTGAATTCCCACATCAGTGCAGTCAAAACAAAACTAAATTCTCCTGAAACAGAAAACCTAAAAGCCAAATTCAACATCAGCACGAGGAAAGGGTTTAGCTTTATTACTAGAATTAAGAATTAAAAACAATCGAGTAACCCACCAGTAAGGAAACACAGAGCTCGTCGATCTTAAAGAAGGTAAAATGGAAGTTTTTATCTAATCAAGTGGAGTACAGAAGCCAAACTACGTGACAGGCTTCAGCAGCTGGCGAAAATACTCAGCCTGCACCGAGTAAAATAATGATTATGAGAGAATCTAATAATAAAATAGAACAAGAAAGTACACAAAAAGCTCTTTTGAGATTGAAAAATCTTTTCTTGCAGGCTAAATACCTGGCAATCTGGCAACGGTTGGAAGCAAGCAATGACCCTAACTATGATGGCAGCACATCCAGCAAACACATACTCATGTTTCAATTCCCGGAATCTCGTCTGCGCCGCTGCTTGGCAAACCATTCCTACTCTAATTCCCTTCAAACAAAGCCGTGTTCACCAAAGAAACAAAAGTAGAGAAGAAGAAGAAGAAGAAAGCAGGGAAGTGCAGAAGATCTAAAGTTGTTGCAAAAGAGATCGCTCCTAAGAAAAAAAAGGCAAAATCTTCCTTTTTTTTAACAAGTGGGAAACGCTTCAGTTCGATTTCATGGAAAGAATCCTCGTTTCCATAGATCGGTAGCAGAGCAGAAATATTTGAGAAGGAGAAGGAAGCCGGGAAAAGAAGTAAAGTTACAGGATAACGCGGCAGTACAAGTTCAAGGAAACAACTTAGTTCAAGGAAACAACTTTCCTAAACAACTTTCCTATAAACGTCAACAGAAAGGCTCAGCCACCGCATGCTTCTGCTCCAAATACACTGCACCAGAAAAAAATTTTCCGTTCTCGCCTCCAAACGTGAGGAAACCCTAATTTTTCAACAAAATGAAGAAAATGTCAGAAAACAAAATCAAAATGACTAAACATCAATCAATCTGGGGAAACAGAACTTAAAAAAGAACAATCCGAATCGTCCTGAAGATCGCAAAAGCTCCAAACCTGCTTGATTTCTACTTACAGCCAAAACAATCAAATCTTGAAAGAAAAACTGAAAGCTTTTGAAGGAAAAACAGATCGGATGACTAAAAGACCTTGTGCGCCGCGCGAATCTTACTTGAATTCGCAAACTCAAAATAGAGAAAACCGAGGAGGCGAGGAGGAAACAGAAAACCTAGACCACTGTCCAGCGCTGCGGAGGTAGCCAGGGCGATAAGAGATGAATGGATTATATTGGCATCAGATGACAGAATTGCCCTCAGAAACTGAGAAGTATGACAATGGGAACCATTAGCACGTGAGATGAATAACTTCTCCCGAGATGCAATATTAGTCCAAGAGTGGCCAAAGGTCAAAGTAACTGTTGACTGAGAGTGAGGAGTAATCGGCTAAAACGTGTTTAAAGGGTCCAATTCGGTGAAGCTAATCTAATCTCTTTGGAAAGACCATCAATCATGTCGGTAGCTATTAGATTTACTTAAATGCCCATACATTGTAGTTGAAATTTCAAAAAAAAAAAACTGCCTACAGGCTTTTTGTGGGGGCGAGTTGAGGCATGATTTGGCGGCCGGTAATATGATTAATGTGATCCTGATCGAATTTAGTTTTATTGAAAAAATATATAATTATTTCTATTATGTTTTTGATTTCGCTAATTTAAATAATTAAAATATGATCTAATTACATAGAACTGTAAATCAACCCGTATTATGGTAATTCTCGAGTCAAGTGTCATATGATCAGTTGATTTTTAATTAGTTACTCGATCGATCATAAATCAGTTGTTTATTATCTTTCGGTCGTCCCAAATACCTTTAATTATTCTTATAGAAGCTCATCTGACTATCGAATTTAGTTTTATTGAATAAATATAAAATTATTAATATTATATTTTTGATTTCGCTAAGGTCTTTGATTAGTTACTCGATCGATCAGAAATCGGTTGTTTATTATCTTTCGGTCGTCCTAGACACCTTTAATTATTCTTATAGAAGCTCATCTGACTATATTTATCGTAGACAGTTATATGGAAAATTATACATATTTGATTTAAAGATAAATTTAACTTAGATATTGGGGTGTTCCTAGTTGCTTAGGTTATAGGTATTTTAGACATTTATATCCCTTGATCATGGTAAGATGCATGCCTGGTTTAGGGTATAGTTTTTTTGCTCCTCTCTTCTTTATAATATATATTTCAACATCTAATAAGATGCATTAATTAACATACACTTATACAAACTTTATTAGCTATTATGAATGATGCAATGAAAAGAAGCCGGCAAGAACAAGGTACACCAAACTGACTATAAATCCATAACAAAATCAAACATGTCATTTTAAGTTCTTTGAAATTTGTTTCTCATAAAACTTTTATGAGATTTTATTATTATTATCAATATTGTAAGGGGCAAATTGTTCATTTTTGAAACTGACTTTATCTCAAAATCACAATGGAAGATAAGAGTGTAGATGCAGAAGACGGGAGAGAGAGAGAGAGTTCAGTTTTGAACCTAAATTTGTCTCAAAGTTTCTATGTTATTAATTAAGAGTGCAAAATCCAAACAAAATAATCTCACGAACAAAAAACTAAATGATTGGTTAGTAGGAAATTAGTAAAGGAGAAGAAAAGTAGTCAGAGGTGTTTCCTAGGACAATGAAATACTGTGATATTACAGAAGAGCGAATATTGAGTGCACCAGACGTACGTGCAGACTGTGGTATTGGGGTGGTATTGCACCTCAATACCAATTAAATACCGCCGCATACTACCAATGCTATCCCAATACCATGTCAATACCACTGATCCGCACCTAATGTGCACCTATCTCATCCGCACATAATATTTTTTCGTAGAGGAGAGCGCGGAAAACAAGATTGTCACTGCCTTCTTCTTGAAATAACTCGAATTCATGAGCAAAGAGATAAGAATGTGAATACATGGGCAATGCTAAAGCAACTCACATGAGTAGCACGAATCGGCTCTCAGTAAAGAAACTCTTTATTAATCTTAAAATAAAACTCGATTGTTATAAAAAATGGAGGTGGCCATTATATAGGCTACAACACCTAATTTGATAAGAACTATAATCTTAAGAATGAAATAACTTCAAGAAAGAAATAATTCAAATAAAATAATTGCTACAATTGTAAGAAATTATATAAGGAAATGCTAATTAAAGCAAAAAACTAAGACTCAAAATTTGAACAACAGGAATCCAAATTAAATAAGGAAAGAAAGTGTGGTTGGCAACAAGACTTGTAATAGGGAATTCACCCAACGTGCTAAGAATTCTCGACAACGTTCTACATCGGAATGGGTGAAAATAAAAGGATAAGAGTACGGGAAGCTGATTAATGAAAAAATAAATAAAATTTTGGCTAATCTTTAGCCTCAAAACTGATAGCCAACAACTTGAATCGGAGCTAGTCGCCTACTTAAGGAGCAATCGGACATGTCCTGTTTAATTGATGATTAGATTTACTTCTTATGTATTAGCATATTTAACTCTCAAAACTTCATATTTATAGATATAACACTCAAATATAAACATTACATCAAAAATATTGTTAGTATTAATTAACAAAAAATGAAATACACTTGTGACACTAAAATGTTATAAATATAATTATCAAACTAGTGTGACACGTAAAATTCCTAATTTTTTTTAATAATAGGGGGATAAAAACTCTACCCAAATATATATGACATTGAAAAACACATTTCTTATACATTGAAATTTTGCACTATGCTCCTGACCGTAACTATGTATTTATATTTATTATATGATCCATCACATTCAAGTATTCAACAGATTTTGACTATAAGAAAATTTCTCTAAATCAGAAAAAGCAAAAAATACATTAACATATAATTATTGATGCCTAAACTTAATTTAATTTATCGATAACCATCGTCATGCTGAGCACAACTGCAATAAACAAAATGACACAACGAACAATTTAAGAATGTGCTTAAGGAGTGTCTTCCGAACATCTCCAAAAGTTACATCGCAAGAACGATAACGTATTGGATCACAACCGGTCTCCTCTATTCAACAGACATGACTTTTAAAAGAAATTTACATAACACAAAAATTGCTCCTTCAAAGGAAGCTTATTAATTTTTTTTGTTTTTTTACATCACAGACCCTGCCACTCACCCGCCAAGCATTAATAAACAATACTTTGATTCTGCATGAAAGATTTTGGGGATTTGATTCCTCAAAAGCAAAAGAAATGGAGGTGAGGCGCTGGCAACTAACCCCTAAGATTACTCGGAGAAGGAGACACTCATTTTTTTTTTATATATAATAAAAAATAACTAATAAAAAAATATTCCGTAAGATCTGAAAGCAGGTTTGAAATGATACCCAAAGTCCCTACGTATCTCGGTTAATTACCAGGGGGAAGATATCGTCTTAGTTTAATTTAATGCTCCCAATAAAGCCGCGGGTTTAGGGTGGAAAGCCTCGTGCTGAGGGCGTGGGGAACAAGGCAAACGGCGGTTTAGTGCGGTCCACCATACCTTGAGGTCCACGCTTTGGGCGGCAGCTTTGGGTTATTTAAGGCTTTTGGGCCATTAAGGTGGTGGAGTTATAAAGATTGGAACTTTAGGTAAAGTATTAAAGGGATTAGGAGGGGATAAGTGGTTTTTGTTAAGGCACACGTGTGAGGGTTTGGTTTGCACGTGTGATTGCATGTGGTTGTCGCTCGTGTGTTGGATGATGGCTGGTTTGCCATGTGTGTGAAAGTGGAATATATTCTGTAGGTAATGCATGGCATAGGATGTACTTTAGGCTTATGTGAGTTGAGCTTGAGGACTTTTTTGATGAGTTCTTATTTGTAACATAATTTTTTAGAATAGAATGATCTCATAGTGATTAAATGTATTGTGAATTTTGTCTTTTAAGGTAATTAGTTAGGTGATATATAATGTATGTAAATGAGTGTGTCATTTAATAGTTTTAGATTTTTCTTAAAATTTACTTTTTTTATAATATGAGTTCTCATTTATTCATGTTTTGAATGTATAAGTTTTTTATAGGAATATGAGGCATACTCAAGAAAAGGTGATTATGAGAGGACCAACATGAAAAAATTTTTAAATATAAGTTTCAAGAGACATGTTATAAATTTGAACTATATTTTATTCCAAACATAAATAAGATATACATTTTTTATGACAAAAGAATGTGAGCTAATTATGCACACTCTTTTAAGTCAAAACAACTAAATTACTTAATGAAACAAAATGATTTTAAACATTTACTTTAAGAAGTTTATAACTGCTTAAGAAAGATCTTATTGACATTAAAATGACTAAAAATTCTCCTTATAAGCTTTACAGCCAATCTCCAGCGGACTTCCTTCGATCAAATCACATCGTTAATAATAATGCGGATAATCTTTTTTTCTTTTTTTTTTTGGTGGTGATATGGGTTGAGGTGGACCTTTTGATTGTAGACACTCTCACTATCCAAAACAAGAACATAAAAAAGCTTACATGGCAAGCAATAACCATTACCCAAGTGCACCACATCCACTAGCTATAACAAACAAGAAAAAAATGTGTTGAGAATGTAGAAAGCTCCTAATGTCACACACTAATAAAGCAAAAGGCTTGGCTAGCCAACATGTGCAAAAAAATTGGTCTAATCCAAACTACATCAATCACTCCACTATTAAAAGAAGCAAAGCAATCCCTTCATCTTCTTTATACTAAGCATAT